TGCCACCCTGTTCACATCTGACCTTGTTGCAGGTGGGACGTGCTCATACCCTGCCATGAGTGCGTCCTACGCAAGTCTTGCAAGAGCTGGGTTTTAGTATTTTCTCCTGGTAGCTCATTGTGAGGTGACTTTTGACACCGCAGCAAACATTGCAGAAAATTACTGTCTTGTAACACTGAGCGAGAAAAAAAATCCATCCCCCAAAGCATCTCTGCTGTGCTGTGCTCTGCTTAACCTGCGTGTTTGCCCAGCTTGCCCCGACTGGTTTGCAGACTCACACCAGTCTCCACTGCCGAAGATGAGCTGTTTCTACCCAGTGCCATGCAGCAGCTGACTTCCCAGTCCAGTGTGTTCTGTCTGATGTTTAAAGTGTTTATAGGCTCATTGATGCAGCTTCTGGTCCATAGAAAGATTTTCCTCCCAAGTGTCGTGGGATAAGGAACTCTCAAGCCCTGACACAGGCTGGCCATGGCTGTACTCGTGTCCTGGATGCACCCCTCTTTTGTGTCCCCTGTGATGTGATCCCACCTCATTCCTCTGCCCTGTGCTTGGGAGGGTGGGTCCCAGGGGTGGTCCTCAGGTGATGTACACAAAATGAGAGGAAGGTGGGTAACGAGGGAGTGGTCTGGGGAAGCCTCCACTTCTGGTGGACAATTTTCAGGGGCATATGAGGCTCCGCAGGTAACAGGCGGGGAGTCCCACACTCTCTCCTTCTCCTTCCCACTTTCTTTTTCTGTGTTCTGCACCCCGGTTCTTGCTTAATTGCTGTTGTAGACAGTGTCTGTGGTGGCTATAGTCCTGCTTTACCCAGGGCTTGTGGGATATAGGTTCTCGCTGCAGTGTGTATGTAGGACTGCTCAGGAGTGGAGGCAGTTAATGCTGATGTGGACTTGGCAGAGGATTTTCAGTGGCTCACCGATGCCAGCAGCCTTTTGCTAATGTTCTTCATTGGGTCTGACTGCAAATATTTCATATGCAGTTGGATGAAGTTCACTGTCCCGCAGTAGAAAGTCAGACCTGATGATCTAATGGTCCCCCTGGCCTTCTGCGAGGATGCTGTAAATGACCTGAATGGAGTCAGCGTATCTGGCAGCAGAGTGCTGCATGAAGTTGAAAGATGATGCATAGATTGCTGTTAAAATAAATGGCGAAAAAAATGGTTCTACTGAATGCTTCAGAAACTATGTGATCATCGGTGAGGGTGTGCACATGCTGAAACTATGTGAAACCACAATCTTACTACTGTTTTCTTGTTTTCCTTCCCCCTAGTGCTTGTTACAGTTTCTTCGCTCTGGTTTCATATAACACTGCAAGATCTTGCAGGCTTGTATCATCCTGGGTACCACTTTGCATGGCGGGGGCCTGACCCTGACGGTGGCTTCTGGCTGCTGCAGCGAAACAGGTGATGAAGGACTTGCTGCACTTCCTTTACCCAAGCTGCAGATTGTGCCAGTGCATCCAGTCAGGGCCGTGAGCAGTACTTCTGGATGCAGGGAGGCTTCACGGCACTGGTTTCAGCTCCGTGAGGGGTTTCAGGGAGATGCCTGTCCCAGAAAAGGAGCAGGTCAGGGAGTAGTACCTGACACCTCCTGTGCATCAAGCTCTCACAACGTGCCAGGGACTATACCTGGGCATGGATGGTGCATGCTAGCTGCGGTGTGAGGAGCAAGCTTGGTTTGCGGTTGCTTACTGCTGCCTGTGCTGTCTGGAGACCTCAGGGTGTACCTGGCACTCGAAGCAGGGGCTGAGGTGTGGATCCAGTGCCTCACCCTGCCTTTTGCCAGAAAGGCAAATCCGAAGGCCCACATCTGCACTAGTGAGCCATGCCTTAGGGCTTTCTCTGGCGCTGTGGCTATTCAGCTGTCTGAGCTGTTCAACCCCCTTTCTCTTCAAAAAGGGGAAACTGGCTGTTGGAAGGGGTCTCTGTCTGCTCCAGTCTGCACTGTGCTGGGAACTATTTTGGAAGGTGCTAAGTGGCCTGTGAGCCCTGTAGCAGTCCAGTGTTACAGGCAATCAAGTCCCAGCACCTGGGAATGTCCCCAGCAAGGTTTCATTTCCTAGGAAAGATGTGTGATAGCTGACCTGGCCCTCGGGAAGGTGAATGCGTTAAGTAACCTATTCCACTGGTAAGGAGACAGAGATAGGGAAGACAGACTGTTTGCCCAAGCCTTGTTTTGGCATCAGCAGCAGGGCTGAGAATGGGAATCCCCACGCAGCACGACCTAGTGTGAGTGTTCAGTGGGACTTCAGCTTGGGAGACCTGTGTGAGGACATCTGTTCTGCTCTCATCTGAGGCTGCGTTGAGCTTCTTTCCACTTGGGAGAGCTGTTGACCCTTTCATGTGCCCACCCATCCTCTGGTGCCTCTTCACCCCAGGCTGCCCAAGATGAGGGCGAGAGTCCCGCTCCCCTCTTCCTGCTGCCATGCTTCCAGTTTCAAGGGGTGGGTAAGCAGGAGGCAGCCTCAGTGCTCAGCCTTGTATGGCAGCCAAGTCCTTCAAAGTTATGAGTGTGGCTTTGTCTCACATCATTGTTAGGTCTGCCAGGGGCTTGGTGCGTCACGGCACCCAGCAGGTCCCCTTGCTGGGCAGCTCTGCCTGCTGCCTTGGAAGCCCCTGTGCAGTGAGGGGTGATCAGGGGCTGCCTAGTGTGTACAGGTAGCTCCCCAGCAGCCACCCCTGGGACGGTGACACCAGACCTGGAAGGGACCCTGACACTTGTTTTGTTCTCCGGAAGCAGCGCTGGATGGAGAGTCCCAGGACTGGACATGCCCCACAGGTGGCTCATGCCTGACCTGCATCTTTGCCCAGAGTGTTGGCAATGGCACGTGCAGCAGGACAAATGCAGCTGGGGGCCACCACTTTCGTGAGCACCGTCCCTCCATGCTGTAAACATGCCGTGCTCCTTAAATCTCTCAGGATTCACTCTGAATTCTTTGTACGGCAGTGAAAACCACATGGCGTTCAAGCCATGCAAATGTCAACGAAAGGCTTTAAGTAGAACCAGACGTGCTCAGGACTGAGTCCCATGCGGCAAAGCCCCCATAGCTGTTTTCCCACTGCTGGTGCCCTTGCTCACCTGATGCCCCATGCTATGTGAGGTCCTGCTCACTGGGCTTTCATCAGGAAATAGTCATGGTCCTTCTCTGCCCTCCAGTACTACCTACATGTTTCTCCTCCCAAGTGCTCACTTCCAGTCCTGGAGGTCCTCCCTGCCTCCATCTCTGCCCATCCTCTCATCCAGGAGGTTATGGAAGAAATGGACATTCCTGTCCAGGTAGTCCCTCTGCCCTTGCCTCCGAGGGCATCCCTGCCAGGTTGCTCCGCTCTGTGAATGCTGGGCTGACCTCCATTGAGGAGCACTGCCCTGGTGCTAGCATCTCCCTTCACCTGGGGTTAGCAACTCATGTCTGGACTTGGCGGTGACATAGGGTGCCTCTGTTAATGAGAGGTTTGTGCCAAACCCAACAGGGGTTTCTTGTTGTCAAGAGTGGTCTTGTCTGCTCAGGCTTATGTCCCTGTCTGTTTTAGTCTCATACCTTTCTTCCTGCAACTTTTGGCTCGATGTTGTCATTGAGAGCGGCTAGCAGCATGCTTCCTCCAGCATGCATGTGAGAGGTGTAGATAAAACTTGAACTTTAATGCGGCTAATAGTGTGATTCAAGGCCCAAACAGCTGTTCTTGAGAAGGTAGTTATTTTGCCCACATGAAACCACCTCTGACTATGCCAGTAAGTTGAGGTGGGAAAGGGCAAGGGCTCTTTGAATGGACCAGCTGAGTACGACTTGCAAGGTGGGTTTCAGCCGTGCTGAGGGAAGAATGGGAGCTGTGACAGTCTAAGCAAAGATGCTTATGCTGCTGCTTGGAGCAGAGTCCCTCAACAGACCTTAACTACCTAAAGACCTGCTCCAGCTCAGTGTTTTTCTCTCTTTACTGATCTGGACATCTTAAAAAACTTTAAGGCCTTTCGTGGGCTCTTATGCAGTAAGTAAAGGAAAGTTTGCTTTCCTTGGATCCTTTCTGGAGATGACTTAAAGAGACCCATAGATCTCTTTGGGTTGACAGACAAAAAGCTGGAAATCGGTGCTCTAGCCCAGCCAGAGCAGATGTGAGTGGATGCAAGAATTACTTTGCCTTGTGCTGTTTGCAGGAAGTCACACCAAGGGAATTTAAGTGCTTTCTCCCTGTAAAAATCTACCCAGGTTAATAAAATGTTGATCCTGAAGGGCTGGATAACACTTTACAAATGATGTGGCTTCTCAGACCACTTCCCCTTCCCACGTGGAGCGATTGTATCTCTACAGGCAGCTTCATTCATGAACACCAGAACAATCCTTGGCACGCCTGCTACCCACAGTCTTTGGCTCTCCTAAAACGTGAGCCCCACAGCTTGAGCTCTGGCACTTCTGGAGTCTCATCTCATGCCATGTGGATGCAGGAGTCATGAGGATGCCGGTTCAGAGCAGGATCATCTTCTGGCCCTGCTGTGTTCATGTGAAAGTCAATCCAGAAGACAAATGTGCATGTTTCCGTGGTTCCTGTAAATTCTGTCAGCAGCTCCAACTGCCTTGTCCAGTGTTAGAAATAAACCATACTCCCCACTTCATTTCCAGAGGCTTTCCAGAGCTTTCAGGCTGCCTATTTCTAACTTTTTATCTTTTGATGACTATACTCTCCCATCTACCTAGACATGCAACAGTTACACATTCCCAAAACCTTTCTTCCATGATGAGTAAATATGCTTGGAGACCAACTTGCGACTTGTTATTCCTTCTTATTACAGATGTGTAAATAGGAGATGTGACTAGAGGAAGCAGGATTAGCTGCCCGCTTGGGCATTGCGGAGCACCTCTTGGAGGCGCAGCACTGCCTCCGAGAGCTATATGTTGGCAGTGATCCGTATCTGAAAACACATAATAAGGGAGATGTTGGGAGGACATCGTTTATGCAAAGGCAGTGAAAAAGCCATTGCAGTAAAGTGCTGGAATTAATCGCTGTAGAAATGGCGTGAGCATCCTGGAGTCGGTCTAGCACGGTGCATGTCAAGCAGGCACAAATTTCATGGCACCGGAGAGTCACTAGCCCCCCCGGGCTGCTTCACCAGAGGCAGATAACAGATGCAGGACTGGGGTACTCACAAAGGGAGAGCAAGCCTGGGGGCGGCCGATACGGCTGCTTGGCGTGCAGTCCCTCCCGGGGTGGGGCTGAGCGGTGAACAGCCACGGGCGGCAGCAGTCAGATGGAGAATGAAGTGTTGTATTCGGCCGAAGCAGCTCGGGACACTTGCGGAGGCGAGACGCTATGACCCAAGTTGGAATCGGGCCCGACTTACACCCCACTACCATGAAGTGCCACGAGATGTTTAATGACTGCAGGCTGCCGGCCTCCAATTGCTCTCAGGAGGAAAATGGTTCCTCTGAGTGCTGTGCCAGGAACCCAGCATAGTGCCAGTTCAAAAGGGAGATGCTCCCTGAGGGGTCGCTCGCACTGCAGCATTCACATAGTCCTTGGGGGTTTCTTTTCCAAGCACTTAAACAACCCAGCCCTTGTCCCATTGGTTTTGATCTCAGCTGCTGGTCCATCTGGAAGGAAATATCAGATGCTGCAGGAAATAATTTTACGGGTGACTCAGAGGTGCTGGCTGCAGAGAGACCTCAGCTTCCCTTCTCCTAACCGCGCTGCTTTGTCTCTCTGCTTAGGCCAAATGTCTGCGGCAGACAGTGTTGCCCAGGATGGACCACGGCTCCCGGCACAAACCGCTGCATCAAACGTGAGTACGACAGTGTCTCAGCCAGTGCAGGTCTCGTGATGCACCCCTAAAAAGCACTCAAGTGCTGCTGTTACCCCGCACACGTCCCCTGCGCTGTGCCAGGGCAGGAGATGGACCATGGGGTCCCCAGAGGCAGTGCCACAGCCTTCCCATGGGGCTGCTGGGCTGTGGGTCAGCTCTCCCCGACTCCTGGTGAAGTTTGAACACACTGAATAATTATGGCTTTACTTTATTATCGTTATTAGTGTCCATCCTGAGCAGGGTCTTGTTGGGGCAGGCCATTGCAACGGCGCGTTTATGGGTGAGTTTCGAGCCCTGGGCTCTCTCTGTCCTGCTTGGAGCAAAAGGCAGGTCTGTGAGAGTCCCAGCGGGTGGGAACTGGCAGAGTGGGGCTGTGCTCACCTGGGCGAGCACTGCTGATGCTGAGGGGGAAATCAGAGCGGCAAATTACCTGAGTGCTATTAAGGAAAGCAATTAATGGACTTGGCACAAGGGCGGGGATGGGTGTGTGGTGCGGCATGTGGGACGTGTTAAAATGGCAGGGGGCTGCAGGATTCTCCTGCAGTGTGGAAACTGCCCGGCCAGGGCCCTCCTGCCTGCCCACAGCAGGGTTAATAAGGGCTCTGCTCCTCCAAAGGACCCTGCCACAGCCCTGGGGACTGAGATCATTTTGAGCTCCTCAACACAGCACTGGAAAGGAAGGGGTTTGGGCAGGCACCAGCGTGACACGCGCCAGAGGCAGCTGCGCTGTTGTCTCCATCCCCAGTAGCTCTGCAATCACAGCCCAGCCCCTGCTGCGACCCCTGTCCCTAAACAACAAGGTTACACCACCCAGCCCACCCGTGGACCGGGGGCAGCTCAGAGGGCAGGGAGCACACAGGCACCGAGCCGGCTTTCTGCATGGGAACGCCCTGCCCGGAATAGCTGAGAGCATCTGCCTTCCCTCGAGTGGCAGCAGCTGCCCAGATGTTC